AGAAGAAAAAGCAGAATGGTTGCTAAAGAATAAGTTGGATTTGGACGTCAATGAAAATCAATCGATATCTACGGTGGTTCCCAGGACCCCTCCATCGGTTCAGCTGTGGTAGAGACTGAGCCGAGGTTGTCTTCAGCTCCTGTCAGAGCYCTCAGGCGTTACAGGTATTGATAGTTAATAAATAATCAATATATAAATATCGGGATCCCTAGGCAGGATGCATTCTGGTCTAGCATGAGTACAAGCAACTCCACATTAGCCATTCGGAGGTTGAGAAAAAATCTTGATTGAGTTGGCATTGCAGTGTATTGTGGGACTGTTTAGGGTAAACATTTCTTAGATGGCGTCTATTTCGTCCCCTAAACAGTCCCACAATGCAATGCAATGCCAACTTGACCCAGTTCCCCCTCAATCATGGAGGGGGTAATATGGTAGTGCTGTAGCAGATTATCATCTTCTATAGAGGGTTTTAACGGCGGCCATGTTTTTTGGTAGAGTTTTACCAGACCCACCAGGTACTCAGAGAACGTCTGAAGATTCGCCTCAACCGTCCAGCCAATCCCCTGTCACTCAGGTATCCCATGGTTACAGGCCTGGCACAGCTGCCGCTGCTCTACAGAAGCGAAGGCTCAAACCAAACTAGTAATAGGTTTGATTGGTAGGTTAGCAAACAGTATCCCCAAGAGGGAGGGGTCAGGTACTTTTAATACAAACAAGATTGTCCGGTGTTAGCTGTAAGAAAAACCGGTGTAAAATGTGCAGTACTGTGCAGTGCCCATTCTTTCCAATACACTGTGCTTTCACATAGTAGCTATGTTATTGGACAACAAGCCTAGCAAATTTAACGAGTCATATACCCGGCTACCGGGGAAAGAAGGGGCATAAAATCCCGTTGTGTGTCCGGTATTTGTAAGTTTCATTAATATGACTATAACGAGCGTTTATTTCTAAATCAGATACTACCTTACGGGATATAAAGTTTGGTCGTGAAAAACCCGGTGTTTGCTCGGTGCTACCTTACGGGATATAAAGTCGGGTCGTGAAAAACCCGGTGTTGGCTCGGTGCTACCTTTCGGGATATAAAGTCGGGTCGTGAAAAATCCGGTGGTTGACCGGTGCTTCCAATGTTATCAACATGGGGCAACGTCATGCAAAATGCCCCTACTTTGTACGAGGGGGAGGGAAGGGGTTCATTTTGTGTTGGACACGATGTAAGATATTCTTAATGTTTGATAAAACTAACTTGTAAATATGTGTTACTGTTAAGAATCATTAAACCCAACGACAAGCTCTCGCCAGTGTTTCTCTTTAATATACAGCTGCTTCTAATTCCTTTGTTTTGCTTTTTACATTGAATCACCATACACCGTATCAAAATATGGCGACCAATTTGAATAACTATTGTTCTGCAYCGACCTGCCACTGACTAGACTGTCATGCATGTGAAAACGCTTTTATGCTTCCATGTAAACACCAGGCTAGTCAGTGACGTAGAGAGTAATTTGAAAACAAATGTTGCGTGACAAGGTGCAGCAATCTTTGCATAAAGTAGAATTTGTTTCTACTTTTGT